ACCCCGGCCCGCCTCCACCCCCGCTCGGCCGCCGCCGGACGCCGTGGACGTGGCAGAACTGCTGCGGGACGCCAGCTCGGCCCAGGATGAGGCCCCGGAGGCGTTGGCGCCGCGGCCGCCCTCACGCTGCTCAGTGCTGCTCTTCCCCGGCCAGGGCAGCCAGATGGTCGGCATGGGGGGCGGCCTGCTTGGCTTCCCGCGTGTGCGCCAGCTCTACGAAGCGGCTCACCGGGTGCTGGGCTACGATCTGCTGGAGCTGTGCCTGCACGGGCCTCAGGAGGACCTGGACCGCACCGTGCACTGCCAACCCGCGGTCTTCGTGGCCTCGCTGGCCGCCGTGGAGAAGCTTCATCACCTGCAGCCGGCGGTGAGCCGAGAGGAGAGTCTACTGGGTCTGCGGGGTCCTCAGTGTGGATCTTACTGGTCGCCATTCCGGTCGTCATGATAGTATTCTAGACCTCCTGCACGAAACAGGGATCCCTGCTCCAGGGGTGTTTGCATCTTAGAAGAGACACAGTTCACAGTTAATATAGTACATTAAAGATGAATGTGTTGGGCTGGAGACATGGCTCTGAACTTAAGAGGACATGGGTTAGGTTCCCAGCACCCATGTGGCGGGTCACAATCCATAATTCCTGTTCCATGGGATCCAACACCGTTTTATGACTTCTGCAGGTACCAAGTATGTGTATCATGTGCAAATAACATTCAAGCAAGCAAAACATTCATACACATAAATCTTTTTTTAATTTATTTATTGAGGGTCCAGAGAGACGGCTCAGTGGTTAAGAGCACTAGCTGCTCTTCCAGAATACCCAGGTTCAATTCCCAGTACCCACATGACATCTCACATAACTGTCTGTAATTCCAGTTTCAGGGGATCTGACCAGCCAGGGCTACATAGCAAGTTCCAGCCCAATCAGGGCTACATAGTGAGACCCTGTCTTAAAAAAGACAGAAAACGGCATGGCAGATATTACAGCATGTGACTTCACTTGCTGTTGAAACAGAGTAATACATGTTAACTGGTGCTGAGATCCTCTGTTTTACCTCTGCAGTCACCTTGTAAGATGGTATGATAGGAGGCTCAAGGTTACAGGAATGAGTATAGTCCTATGGCACATTTCATTTACTCAGTGCTTACTTTGGGCCAAGCCTATGCCGAGATTTTTATAGAGATTAGCATTACCTACTTTTAGTAGTACTGTAAAGTAGGTCTGGGGGACTGAAATCCAGTTCTCTGGCCCGAAAAATCATATTTTTAATGCCTGTACTTTTGGTTGGGAGCATTGGAAGGATGAACTGTAATGTATCTGTGTTGTCATTAAACTCAAAATCCTCTAGCTTCAGTCTCCCCCAGGGCTGTGATTACAGCCATGAGTGGTCATAGGCAGTGTGCATTTAACTTTGCATCCCATATGCCCAAAAAAACTGCTCTGGGCAGAGGCAAGAGGATCGAGACTCTGGGTCATGGTGTGACTAGGATTGGCTCTAGCCTGCCTTTCTAAGGGAGGTTCTCATCAAGAAAGGGCTAGACTCAGGGGTTGCTGGCCCAGCTGTGTGCTCTCTTCTAGCTGGAGTACCAGGCCAATAGAATTGGCTCGTGGTGACACGTAACTGCCCTGCCAATTCCCAGGTGCATATCCTAGGACTGAATGCTCTGTACCTTAGGGCTCAGCCTTATGTCCTGCTCTGTCACCACAGGTCATTGAGAACTGTGTTGCTGCAGCTGGATTCAGCGTGGGAGAGTTTGCAGCCCTCGTGTTTGCTGGAGCCATGGAGTTTTCTGAAGGTACACAGGAGTTTGGCTTGTGCAGAGTGTGTTCTTGCTGGGTTCAGTGGGGACAGGGGACTCTGTGGACAGTGGTGCTGGACCTACTCCATGGTTGTCCGGAAGGGAGCACAGGACTGCAGATGACCCTGGAGCTCAAGGGCCAGATTCCCCTGATCCCCTTTGAAGTCTAAAGGATTCAGTGCAGGTTTCCTATATAATCTCATGAAGTCTGTTCCCATGGCCACCTTCCTTCACTGCCCTCTGCATTCCTTTTTAAATTACATAAAAATCCTCTTTGCTGCCAGACCTCCACCATCATGGGTCTAATGCATGCTCCCAGGAGGGCCTGTCCCAGTTGGTGCTGCCCTACCACCGTAGCGTCCCCACTTGGCTGAAGCTGACATCTGATGATGTGAAGGAACAGATTTACAAACTGGCCAAGAAAGGCCCAACTCCCTCCCAAATAGGTGTGATCCTGAGGGACTCACATAGTGTGGCCCAGGTCCATTTTGTGACTGGTAATAAAATCTTGAGAATCCTAAAGTCTAAAGGCCTTGCCCCTGATCTCCCTAAGGATCTCTACCATTTGATTAAGAAAGCTGTTGCTGTCCGAAAGCATCTTGAGAGGAACAGAAAGGATAAGGATGCTAAGTACCCCCTGATTCTGATAGAGAGCAGAATTCACCGGCTGGCTCGTTACTATAAGACTAAGCAGGTCCTCCCACCCAATTGAAATATGAGTCATCCACAGCCTCTGCTCTAGTGGCATAAATTCTCTTGTGTGCACAAGCAATAAAATCACTTTGAATAAAAAAATACATAAAATTGTGAGTGTGTGTGTGTGTGTGTGCACTGCCACAGTGTGTGTGAGGCAGAGGACAATTTTTAGGAAATAGTTTATTCTTCCTTCCAGCATGTGCATTTTTAGGATTGAACTCAGGTTATTAGGTTTGGCCACAGGCACCTTTACCCACTGAGCCCTCTTGCTGGCTCTCCCTTTGCATTGTTAAGGCATTCACTCTCTTCCTGTCACACTGGAAGGTATTCAGTGTTACATGAAAGAGTCAATGAATACTTGATTATTGCCTAATGTATGTATGCAAAGCCCATTCCCAGCATCCAGAGTTCGGGAACAAGAGCAGTTAGTACTCTTAACCGATGAGCCATTTTCCAGACTTTCCATTCCCAGCATCCAGAGTTCGGGAACAAGAGCAGTTAGTACTCTTAACTGATGAGCCATTTTCCAGACTTTTTTTTTCTTTCTTTTTCTTTTTCTTTTCTTTTTTTTTTTTT